TTACTCAGAGCGAGTTCATTGGAGTAGAACTGGTAAATCATTAAACACACGCTCAGCAGTCTTCCTGCTGAGCAAAAAACTGCTGTACTACCCACAAGTGCAGGCACCATTACATCAAGTGTTCTTCCCCCTGCCATTACCTAAGAAAACAGAATTAATACTTTTCATGCACACAACAGCAATTTAAAACACATTATAATATTTTTGCTCTACTCCCCTAAGCCGCAATCATTAAGGTCAGATATAAAAAAAGAATGCATTTGAATTAATAAACTCCTTTTCTACCTTTCACCATGCCAGTTGTGATTGTTACTGGCAAAATATGCATTTAAATAGTTTCACCTCTCCCAACACAGTTTTTTTGTGCATTTATACAAGGGGTACAATCTCTGGTAATAAATTTCTCATTTCATCAGTGCCATTATGTGCTGTAAGACACTGCAAGCTGGTGTTACTTATTTGTTTTTCATTCTTTATTTCTTAAAGTGTTGTATTGTTCGTAACCCCTAACTTCAGAAGTATGAGACATGAATCATAAAAAATTCTATCTAGTGAAGAAATAAACGTGTCATGCCAGCATTAAATGTTGACTCAAATAAGTTCACAAGTTGTGTCTCCTCTGATCTCTAACATGATCAGAAGGCAGCACCAGTTTACAGAGACAAGACGTAAAAAAGTTCCATGCACAGACACAAAAGAAATATTTTGATATAGACCCAAAGAGAAAACATATCAAAAGACATTTTTATACATGTCTTTTGCAAGCACAAAAAGCAGAAATGGTGTCAAGAGAAAACAAAACAGAAGGCTTGTTTCTTCCAACAATTGCTTTAAGCTACAAAAATCTCCTTGAGTCCCTAGCCTCTCCTCAATGTCAGCCCCCCTCCCCTCGCCCTCCCTCTCTCTCTCTCCTCTTCGTTTCTCTCTTTTCCCCTTTTCCCTCTCTAAGGCAGGACAGGGCCCTCTTTGCACCCTGATAGGTTGCGGGCTGATGCTTAGCAACAACATTCCTGTGCCCTAAGTAGCAGTAAGCCTCTGGCTGAACTCTTTGATGTGGCTGTCAGGCCACATTTATTTCCTTTTAGCACTTTGTCTACTTGTCCAGATGTATAAGGAGATAAAAAGGGCTGGTGTTTACACTGGTCTCCCTCTGTAGCACGGCTGTAATTAGATTGTATTGCTGGTCAGTCTTAAGGAGGTGAGGTGAGGCAAGGCAGAACCCACCTGTGTCAGGATGAGCTGGTCAGGGTTAGACCTCGGGAGCCAGGCTGCAAAAGAGGAAAGCAGTGTGTATAGCATGGTTACTTTATGTACTTTTGTACATAACACTGTGGCAGGCAACATCATAATCACATTCTTGTGAAATCTTTTTAGATCAGTTGATGTCAGTGTAATGTACTATAATATAGCATCCATCAAGATTTGATATCGACAGCCCAGCTTGCAAAACTTTGTAAACTTTGTTGCAGTTGCATCTGAAAAACACCTAGATATGCGTCAACCTTCCCCGACTCACTTTTTGGTATCTCATATTTGCAGGAACCCCACTGTGGAGGTGGTTATGTGCTCCATGTGGTTCTCTTTGTGTTTTGCTTTCGTTGTCTTTCCATCCCTCTGCTGTCTCTCTCTTCCTGCTCCCCTCTCTCATGGTGATATGTTGGAAGTAATAATCACTATTGCCTCTGGGTTTATCAGCATTTATTCGCATAACAACACAGAAAAGGAGAAGACAGACAGCACTGGTGTGATGTATTATCCAGTATGGGAATCATCTTTCATAATGACATCCAACAGAGCTTCCTCTCTTTGCCACCACCCATTTCTCTCTCTCTCTTACACACACACATACATACACACACACACACATACATACACACACTTTCTTCATTTTTCTCTCCCTCTTTCCACTCCCCTCTGTCCACTCTTTATTATCACAGAATCCATGGTGCTCCCCAGCCTGTAAATTTGTGCCGCATTATCATAAGCTGTGGTGATAACTCACATTGCACAGAGACAATAATGATGTGAACACTCAGCATATGCCCCGGGCCCAGCAAATTAAAACAATGCTCAGCTTGATGAGCAGACTAATCTGGACAGCAGAGAGACTGAGAGAGAGAGGGAGAGAGAGGAAAAGGGGGTCCAGGAGCGTCTTAAATAGACGACACAGCAGCACCTCCCTCTGTTCAGTGTAGGTACAACTATAGAAAATTAGGGAGGGAGATGGGGAGAAAAAGAGAGGATGCAGAAAGGGTTGAATAAAGAGAGTAGGAGTATAGATGAAGCACTTGTTTTGAGAACATGAAAGGGGTACGATGCGTGAGGACACAATGAAACAACCACTACCTTTTTATTTTTATATTTTATTTGTTTTAAAAATGTAGGAGCTGAACTTTGTATAAGCAAACATTGTGTTCAGCACATATAATTCTGCAATAAATGTCCTAGGGGTGATCATACAAAGTCATGTTTATATTTTTCATACCAAAATGTATGTATATATAGTTTTTATCTAGTAGTTAAACAAAGAGCTGAATATCAATTATTGATTTATCATTGATTTGAATCAAAATTTCGGTCATGTCTTTGATTGACTAGTGTTATAGTCTGTCTCTGTTGTCAATTTGTATGAAGCAGCAAAATAATCTCAGTAATTCAATTCAGTTTTATTTGTATAGAGCCAATTCATAACAAAAGTTATCTCATAACACTTTTCAAATAGAGCAGGTCTAGACCGTATAAAAAAGTAATCAATCCATCGGCCCTCTTAAAGCAAGTACCAGTGAGAAAATTCTCCTTCATTTGTTCCACATGCTTTCTCATTATAGGCATTGCTGCTTTCTCATCCTCTGGACGGGTCATTGACTAAAGTGAAAGAGTGCACATGTGGAGGAGTATGGAGGAAGGTCTGAGAGGAGAAAAGGGAGGATCAGGACACAAGAAAGCCAGCTGATTGATGTTTTGTGGGTGGGGTAAAATGGTTGTGCTGGATAGGACGGGAAGTGACAAACACAGATGTTGAATGGGTTTGGTGTTTGATCAGCAGGCATGATACTGTGGAGGTGAAGTGGTGGTGTCATGCATAGCGCAGAGCTTGGGTGGGTGGTGATACTGAAAGCAAAGTGATAGACGTCCCATAGGACCTAAACCAGGATGCTGAGGCAGCCCAAAGATCTAGTATGCAGCTAACCCCAGCAGTCCTCCCCCTTCTTCTTCTCCTCCAACACCCCCCTAACATAGTCTGTGGGTGGTGCTGTTAATAATGGTGCAACTAGGAAGATTAATTGTGGGCAAGCAGCAGGATTAGGAGGGGCCTTTTGGGGCCAAGCAGACCAGAAGAGGCCCAGGCTTGTGATCTTTCAAGCAGGCCAGGAAATGAGGCAGGCAGGGGCGCAACTCTGTGGTGGCTCAGAAGAGCATGGAGGTAGATCAAATAGAGAGGACTCACAATTCCTGTCTTAATGCTTGAGTTGCTCCGTTAGTTCATAATGATTGTCATAGACAGACTCTTAGTGTGTTTCCATTATGACAGTCAATATAATGGCAAAATTAAAAAAAATAAACACTTTTTTATAAATAGGATAGGTGGTGATTATTTTGCTTCAGGATCTCTCGTGGCCCATTCCAGTATTCGTTTTGCCTGTGCTGCAGATTAAGTATGAATACCTGGTTGTTATTCCTCAAATGGGACGTGTCAGTTTTTACTAAGTACACTGTGTTCTTATTTTGGGTTGTTTCACTTCTTGTATTACACATTCCATACAAGTACAGCGTACACGCAGGGAGTGATCTGTGATATTTCTTAACAGGTTTCAGCCACTCCAGAGGCTGAGAGCAGCAGGTCTGCTGTCAAAACAATATTTCTATTCCAAGCTGTTTCTTTCACAAGCATGGTCCACCAGCATATATGTAGTAAGGTCTCAAATAGGCTTATTTTTCCATTTTTCCCTTTGGTGTAATATGAGACACATGCTGGCCAGACCTTAATGCCTTTCAGAGATGCTATCTGAAAGCACATTATGTGATCGTTTTCAATTCACAATGCTCTCTTTGCCCATGAAGAATATGGTTCCATTTAGCAGTGCAGACCATTCCATTTCTCAAGGTTATGCATGGGCATGTAGAGGAACAACAATAAAAGTGGGAAAAATGCAGCTCCAAACCATCTCTAATATGTATTTGTCAGTTGAGTCTCTTGCTATGATTAAAGGCCCAGTGAATTCCTTCCTGCAGGAAAGAAAAGTATTTCTGCAAAGGCATCAGATATCGCTGTGTCATGATAAACTGCCTGCTCCACTAACTAAAAGGCTAAGGGAAGGAAGAGGATGTTTTGGACCTTGAAACTGCACGAAAGAACAACAACACAAGAAACTCTTGACCTGTTTGGGAACCTGCTCTGAGATGCAGGCCTCTGTTTTCCCTTTGTCTTAAAGCAGCGTTTGTCACACTTGTTTAGCCTGAACCTCTGACTGGACAATCAATAGCTCATTCTAGTTGCGCAGCCAGGAATCTATGCACATATTTACCTCACATTTCAGTTATGCGACATTAAATAAGATAGTCAGTTTGCATTTAAAATGCAAATTACATTTCCTCTCTTAAAACCAGTGTAGAGAGGTCATTTTGTTCCATTCGTCAGACTACCCTCACATAACCACGCTACATTTGGCTGTTCAGAGTGAGTGACGTCTACCCTTTAGTTGACCACTGCAGGAGGTCATGGCTGAGTGAAGGTTAAGACCTCTCCTCCCTAACCATGTCGTAGATCAGACCATCAAAGCCAGGACTGTAGCACCAGAACACATGAGAAGTAATAAAACATGACCTGCCACATTATGTCATAAAACAGGAGCAGTGTTTCCAACATTTCCTGTACCAATCCCAAAGGATTTATGACACTCCCAGTCAGCTACAATGACACTTTTCAAAACTTGTCAAACCTAGTTTCCTTTCTAAATACTTAAAACTACTCTTCTTTTTGTATGTCTCCCTTCCCCTAGCCACCTAATGAGGCTGGATCTGAGAGTCACCCACTGCCCTACACTCCTTTACCACGAGGATCTAGAGATGCCAAGAACCACAAAGGTAAGGAAAAGACACTTTGCACTTTATAACCTTTTCAGTCTGGTGGTTTGTATATACATATCTAGAGACATTCTTCAAAATAAAAAAGAAGCAACATATATTATCATACATTCAATCATAACGTAGGTCCATGGATTATGTCAATACAAGTCATAACCCTAACAGCTACAGATAGTGGGAATCTATTGACCTTGAGACTGAGTTGAAGTTATGTTATCTATTCTTATTGATCTCATCTCATTTGTGTGATGTGTTCATAGTTCTAATAATTCTGAGTAATCTAGGTTAACTCTGATCTGAATGTATGCGTGGGAGCACACAGTACATAAACAAGATGAAACATCCTTGATCTGTTGATACTACACATTGATTAGGCCTCATATTGACCCTGTGTTGTCAGTTGATGTAATTGTGCAGCAACTTCTTAACATCAAACCCTTCATTCTAGTGAGAATGTATCACAATCATTAAAAACATACAACGTTCTAAATTAATTGTGCAGGCCACATGCTCAGCTGAGGTTTTAATTATCCATGTCATTGTACTATACCCGTAAATCAGATCATACACAAAAAAGAAAATAATTTGCTTTCCTACGAGAGTTGATTGTTTACTTAACATTTTCATCAGATTTATCCATTTTAATTCCACATTTAGTACTAACTAACTATATTTCATTGGATATCTTAAGAATTAGAATTGCATTACAAATCAAGCTAATAAACATAATTTCACATCACAAATGCCACATTGTAAAAGTAACATTGTAACCGTTAGACGAGCTAACAAAAGGTTAAAGGCATAAAACAGTTCACCATATTTCACATATTACTGAAAGGTAGGTTGTTTTTTCCATATTTCCTTACAAAACAAAATTCTTCTCCATTGTGAATTGCTTGACATCTCGGGTCCGTTCATTAATGAATGTGCAGTTTACAGTTTATTCAGGCTTCAGTTAGCCTGATTGAATGAGTTGGCTAGTCAGGCTTTTCATAATAATCCCTACTTTTCTCAGGGTGGTTCCTGAAATAAAATCCAATTCTTATCACTGAGATATTCATCACCCTCTTCACAATGCAAAACAATTGTAATGGGGTTGACCACCACTATGGTAGCAAAACAGATCAAAAGTGAGCATCTCTACCCTCCGTTTATGGTGCCAAGGACAGATCTATGTCATGGAAGCCTGGACGGTGGCAGCTCTCACCGGATGTAAGGACAGGAAGAGCACCGTGCTTTGTCAAAATCAGACCTGGCTAAGAACAGTCCATTTAAAGGTGAGGGGATCTGACACATGAAATATTTTCCCCTCCGTCTAACATCTGAGCAGCAGTGACAGTCTCCATTTGTTATTTTTATGATGCAGCACTGCAGTCTTAGATAACACAGCCCTCATCTTCGCCCTTCACCTCCTCTTCATGTCCCTGCCTCCAGCCCCTACCCAAGCTCTTTGTTATATTCTTTTCTTTTATTTACACTTCTTAAACATACTTGAGTTTTCTTTATGTGTTGGAGACGGTCACAGAAACTCCTTTTTTCAAAGAGAACAAAGCTGTGGCAAAGCAGTGCTACAACAAACAAAATTTTTCAGACAGTAATTCCAAACAACGGAGCGTTTACTGAGTTAAATTCAGGATATAAACAATAGGGGTGAAACAATATGCTGCATGATTTTATGTAGTTCAATGCAACACTTGCGTTTCAATACGCATGGTAAATTAAACAATTCATACACGGTTTGTTCAAAAACTGTTGAAAAAGTGAGGTGCTCTAGTGATACTGTATATCCTGGTTTTATCATCACAATGGCTTGGTTTTGTTGTCCTATGAATAGTGCTTTTGTTTTGTGCTATAAAGAGAAACTACACTCAGTACATGAGATAAAAGACACTTATCCAATGCTCCAATTAAAATATTTTGAATTATAATATTTCACCAATATATAGTCTTAAACTATACATTTAGAAAATAATTCCACCCTTAGTGAGCAGCTAAAGCATTTAAGTACACATTATACAGTAAGTGACTATGACAGTAGTTGTTTTAAGGGTTAATGAAGTAGTCTTTTTAATGGGGGTAGAAGGAAGGCTGTATAGTTTTATCCTGACTCCTGCAGTAGCAGGCAGATCAGCAGCACTTCTGACATCGACCTGTCGGCTGCACAGAAAGAACCTCCCTTTCCTCCTTTCAGCCCTCTACACCCACCCCCCTCCACCGTGTCACCTGTGTGGAAGCCCCAGAGCCTGGGTGCCAGAGGTAATTACAGCAGCTAGGAGATCCCAGAGGAGGGCAGCGCTGGCAGGTCACTGCCCAGGGAGAATGGGGTAGAAACCAAGGACAGAACTCCAGGATAAGCTCCTGTCTTGGTTGGTGGAGGAGTCAACCTGGAGGAGACAAGCAACAAAACAAGGCAGCAAGGAGGAAGAGCAGGAGTGAGAGGAGGGAGGAAATATATGCTCTTGTGGTAGTAAAATCTAAATCAAGATTTCATAGAGCAGATCTGACAACAGATAGAGCAAGAGGGGGAGATAAATGAGAGAGGAAAAGACAGTAAGAGGACCAGCATTAAACAGTGGAAGACTTAAAATGAGAGAGAGCTAGACAAAAGACAAAGTGAAGGAGGATAGTGGGGGCTCCAGTGTGTCTTGGTGAAGGCGTGACACATAGTGGAGTGGAGTATATAGTCTGGCAGAGGGGCCTGAGGATCCTCCACTACTGTCACCTTGGCTATAACTCTCAGTGCTGGTCCAACTGTCAACTCAACTGTAAATCTAACCATCCAAAATGGAGTCCCACCCTAAAATACTGTGTATCTTTATGAAGACTGGCCTATACCGTACGATTGAGCCACTGCCAGTGACGTACTGCATTATTGTGCCTTACCATGATGATTTATCATTTCAACTTGCACAACAATATGCCAGGCTATTTATCACCAGCTTGTCATTTTCTTAGGATGACACATTTTGAAGTGAGATTCACAAGTTTATTTCATAGATCTAATTATAACTGTATTTCATGAGTATGGAAAAAAAGATGCTTTAGACTTGATTGATAAATCAATGTGCACAGGGGAGATTTTAATAAAATACCTTTCATTTCCGCTGTATATTTCGATAAATAGGCCAGGGACTAGTAACTGCTTTTTTACAGGTATCAGATTAAGTTTGAGTAGGCCATCCCTCAGCGGTGACAGCAGTAAATGAAAGAGATATCTTTGTACAAGCAGAGTAAACAGACAAGGAAAAATGCCTGAAATCTGCCTTACAGTATGAGCCCTGGGCCTTTTTAATCTTGTTGTTCTGGGCCTGCTTCCAGCTACTTTGTATGTATGTATCTTAAATGGTGCACAACTGTTATTAAAATCCCAGGTGGAAAGCAGCCTTCAAAGCAAAAAAAAAACTCCTTTTCTGACGACACCCTTGGGGTGTCTCACATTTGTTTGGCGGTTCACTTTCATTACATGTCGCGGTGATCTGCGCCACAACTCCTGCTACACTACCCCCTAGCTTTCCCAGCCCCCCAAAAAATGAAGCAACGGGAAAAGATCCAAACTAAGAGTAAACTGTTTTATAGTTGCTGCACAACAAATAAACAAACATCTGGAAGCATTCAGAGCGGCCCATTAGAAGGGCTCTGGGCTTTGCCAAAAAGGGGTAAATGATGAGGAATGGGCTGTCGAAAGGCTGGCGGAGACAGGGGAGAGGCCAGATGACAGAGCTGTGGGTGCTAAGCACTGCCTTTTAGAGCTCAGCTGGGCTCAGAGAGATCTACACCTGCTGCTATCTCCTCCTCCCCTCCTTTCCTCCACCAGACATCTGGATGGGATACATGACTAATGGATGACTTAACTGTTAGTGTTGAAACTTAACTGTTGTCAATATGAAGGGGAAGGTTGTTGGTTTGACTGATGACTTAATGTCCTTTGCACGACGCACTTAGTAAAACTAAAAATGAGTTTGACGGCTTTTAAAAATGTTAATGCGTCAAAACAGATATACAGTTCCCCAATGTCTGTTTATTGTTGCTTGTATAATAAACAGAGCTGATTGTATTATTTAGAACTGCATGGATCAGATGCTGTTGTGAATACAAATATTAACTTTTCATAAAGTCCTGTTATTGAAAGTGAACATATGTGCTACTGGTTACAGAATTGTTTAGTAAGTTAATTGATGTATTACCTCAGACATCTGTTTCTTTACTCCCAAGTTGTCCCGCGCTTATCTTATGAGTTATTCTGTTATTTTCTGTTTGATGTCGCTCTGCAGTTAGAATGAAAGCTCTCGTCTTTCTGCTGATAATCTTCCCATCCTGGTTTGGACTGCCTTGGCATGTTCCATGAGTATGGAAATGTCCTCTCTGGAACGCGGTGAGAAAAGACAGAGCACCTTTGACGTTTCCCATTAGACACATGTACGTGCTCTGCAAGACATTTCACTCAGCCTCGTAATGATTATACCAGCAGGATCTGTCCCCTGATAAACATCACTCTTAAACACAAAGACTTGCACTGGCCCCCACACAACTAAAATGAGGCATATGGAAAGAACAAAGTGTAAGCTTTTCCTCCACACTGGTCCAGAGTACAATTCGCAGAGCTGCTTTCTGTAAACTTTATATAATAAACTAAACCATAGACAATGCGTGCGTTCAACATCTGAAAATGAAAGATTGTCATAGAGAATGATATATACAGATCTCATTGCCAGCTATATACCATGAGCTTGTGTTGAGTGAGCATTTGCACCAAACTCTACAGAGTGAATTGACAAAGAAAAGACATGGCCCTCTTCCCGGGTACTGAGTTCATAAAAATGTTTCCCAAGCACTCGTCGCTGAATGAAGGTTGTATTTCTTTGCAGTGTTTGCCATTATGTAAGCTGATGAAGTGTCTAAGATTAGTTACTATGACCCTGTGCAAACTTTTCCTCCATAAACTTTAAAACCACAAAGGATGGTCTTATTAAATATATGACTAATCTATGGTTTATGAATGG